GATCTCCCCCACTTCCCAGTGCCCTGAGTAGACCCCTCTCTGCCCCTCCCACCCCACCCCCCACCCCTCTGCCATAGGCCCCACAGGCACATTCACAGATAGCCTGACCCACCAGAGCACTGAGAGCATCCTGCTTATCCTCCGCTGTCAGCTTCTCATCAACACAGCTCTTCAGGATATCGGCAGTTTCCAGTACATCAGAGTTTTGGTTATACTTTTCAACTTGTTCAATATACACCTCCTGGCTTCCCGATATGAACCGGTCAGCGTGTCCCTCAAGGCTGGGCAGATGTCATCACACTTTGAAACAGAAAAATAAGGACACACTCCCTGAAAGATACTTATCAGAACACACTGTTCCCTTCCCCCTCCCGACATGCTCAGTGCTGCCCTGGGAAGGTGTCAGAAAACTTTGGGAGCCCAGGTCCCAGCCACTCACTTACGCCCGCGATGAGGAGCAAGGCAGTGCAGAGCAGCAGGAGAGCTCCAGCCCGAGTCATGGTGCCGGTGGCAGATGCTCCCTACTCACCTGGAGCAGAGGTATACTCTGCTTGTCCTCACCCCCAGGGGGCCTGTGTCAGATGCTTCCTTTTTTCAGGGGATTCTGCCAGGCCACAGTGTGATGTTGCCCGGGGCTGCACAGGAGGAGCTGTGTGTGTTGGCAAGATGCTACTCCTTGAGTCCACAGAGGGCAACAACCTCCTCAACAACCTGGCTCAAACTCTTCCCTGCTGGAGGGCTCTGTGGAAGGGGCAGCTGACTCAGGAGTATTAACAACTGAAAATACCCAGGTTGACCAAAAAGTGCAAATGTGCTCCCAGATCAGGCCTCCTGAATGCTGGCCTGTGACAGGCTGTCAGAACAACTGTGACCTTGAAGAGAGGGTGGTGTGGAACTTATGGGTCCTCACAAAGCTCAGTGCTTAGCAAATGGTCTCACAGGGAATAAGTTCCAGGCAAAGCCCTGAGCCCCCGGTCAGGCTCTCTGGTGGCTCCTACCCTGCTGTTATCACTGTGTCCTTAATCTTGTCAGTGGCCTTTGTTGGGCCACTTCCCTGAATAAGTATCTGGAACCTGGAAAGCTCTTCTATGTGCTAGCCCAGAAATTTCTAGTTTGCTCTTGACCGGTCCTGCCAACTGGTGACTTTGATAGAACATCATTTACACAGGATTATTCTTTACAATGTCTTTTTTTTTTTAATTTAACTTTTTCTTTTGTATTGAAGTATAGCAGATTAACTGTTTTATGGTAGTTTCAGGTGGACAACAGAGACTCACCCCTATATATGTATACACATGTATCTATTCTTTCCCAAACTGCCCTCCCATCCAGGCTGCCACCTAACATTGAGCAAAGTTCCCTGTGCTGTACAATTGGTCCTTATTGATAATCCATTTTAAATATAGCATTGTGGACCTGTCCATGCTGAAATTCCTAATTATCACTTCCCCTCATCCTTACTCAAGGCAACAATAAGTTCATTCTCTGTCAATCTGTTTCTGTTTTGTAAATTAGGTCATCTGTATCATGTCTTTTTAGATTCCTCATATAAAAGATATTGTAAGATATTTCTGCTTCTCAGTCTCACATTCTTCAATATGACAGTCTTTAGGTACATCCATTTTCTGCAACTCTTTCTACTCTTGAGTGTCTCTGTACTGTTTCCCCCATCTCCTCTCCAGACCTCCCACTTGAGGAAAAGCCAAGCCCCTTCTAGGCCGCAGTCTCTGGGCGAGTCGAGTCGCACAACCAGCCCTGCACTGCTGCTACCTCTGTGGACTTATCCCTGCCTTTCTCTCCTCCCTCAGTGCCTCCTATCTGCTTCTGGACCTGACCAAGTGTGCTCCTGCAGCAGGGCTTCTGCACGTGGAGCCCTCCCAACCTGGAGGCTCTTTCTCCTGTGGCTGCATGATTTGTTCCCTCATCCTCAGGTGTCTTCAAGTATCACAGGGCAGATTTCCCCAGATTCTTGAGCCCACCTATCAAAGTGTCCTGCCTCCATCTTCCCTGCCACAGCCCTCTGTCTTCTTCCCCTGCTTCATCTTCGCCCAGAGTGCCTCTTCCTGTGGGGTCACTGTCTTTCACTCCCTCTTAGGTGATGAAGAGCTGCAGGAGAGCGAGAGCTGTGCTGTATGCTGCTGCATCCCAGGACTAGGAGAGGGCCCAGCATTCAGTAGATGTTACACAATGTTTGTTAGAATAATGGCAGGAATATTCCATTTCTTGAGGTGATAAGCAAGAATATCTTTAATTCTACTTACTCTAGATGGCTTTATAAATATTGTATGGAAATAATGACATATGGTAAAGGTTTAAAATATTTGATGAGTCATAATCAAGTAGTTTTTTGCTGGAGGCACCTGACTGGCCTTTGGCTGAGTCACCTGTGGCGGATTAAGTTTTCCTGAATGCCCGATCTGAATTTGCGACAGATTCTGACCACAGTCAGAACCCTATGCCAAATAGGATTCACATCTGGTAACTGCTCTTGGCAAAGAGGCACCAAGTACTGAGCTGCAGTGTCAGCTGATTTCTGTGGAGCCCCTCCTTACCATGGCTCCTGCTGCCAGGGGACCACCCCTCCGAAGGTCACCCCACGAGGGGCTCAGGGGGCTGCAGATGTGCCTCAGAGTTTCCTGGGCAGGAAGGTGAATACCACAAGGCCCAGGCTGCAAATGCTGGCTCTGTCTGTGGCGGCAGGGCTTCCATGTTGTGGGACCCCTGCCCATGGATGCCGTGCCACCTGTCCTTCAGAAGACACTGCCCCCAGTGCCCTCCCCAACTCTGTGAGGAGAGGAGCCAGGGTCTGGAGTGCTGAATAACACAGGTGGCTGCTATGGATCCAGACCAGTGCCCTTCTGAGGGTGCCACAGGATCCTCTGAGACATCCCCAGATCATGGGCACATTTGATGACATCTGGGTGAAGAGCTGGTCAGGGTCAATGGAGGAATGCCACTGATGTGGCCCTTTACTTGTGCTAGTTTTTTTTAAAAATAATTTTTAATTTGAGAACTTTTTATTTATTGAAAAATTGCAAATATTTCTCAAAATTTAGAAACAACATTAGAAAATTACTACTAACTAACCTCATACTTTATTTGTATTTCACCTGGTTGTCCATTAATGTCTCCTACATTTCAGGATACAATCCACAACCTATACTCACTGCATTCACTGTCCTGTGTCCCCAGGGTCCTCTGCTCTGTGGATTACTCATTCTCTCCTGGTCTGTCGTGGCCTTGACAGTTGTGAGGAGGACTGGTCAGGGATGGTAGGAGGCCCCCAAGCTGAGTTTGTCTGCTGCCGGTCTCATAATGTCCTGTGGAGTTCCGACTTTGTGGTTTGAGAAAGACGCCACACAGGGGAAGCGCCCTTCCTGTCACCTCACATCAGGGTACATATGACAGCTGTGTGTCTTACCAGTGGGAGTATCAGCCTTGATTAGTTGATTAATATTGTATTAGTCCAGTTTCTGCACTGTTTTTCCCCTTCCCCTTCTGTTTCCTTTGGAGGTGAGTTAATAAGTCTAGCCCCCACTTGAGGGGGCAGAACAGTTAAATTTGCCTCCTAGAGGGGATAATCTACCTGTGATATTCAGGATGTTTCTGTATAGAATTTTTGTCTCCTCACCCACATATACATAGTTTCATTTATTTTAGTTTATTGGTTTAAGTGTGTTAGGTCTTGGTTGTGACTTGTGGATTTTTTCTTTGCAGAGCACAGGCTTTCTAGTTGCAGTGGGATACTTCTAGTTGCCCCAGGGCACATGGGATCTTAGTTCCCCAACCAGGGATTGAACCAGCTTCCATTGCACAGGAGGTCATCTAGGGAAATCCCTGTTTTTTTATTTAATCATTTCTTCATATCAGTTGAACTCACAGGTATTACTTTATACTTTGGGTTAGTGTCTAATACTCTTATTTATTTTGTCTGTCAAACTGTTTCCAGTTTGGCCATTGGGAGCTTCTCAGACTTCCTTCAAGAGTTTTCAAGGTCAATATCATTTTGTTTGTACCACCAAACTGCTTTCCTAGCCTGGAAGGTTGAGTTTGGCCCTTGAGAGTTTTCACACATGGAGTTCTACCTCTGGTGGACTCAGAAGTCTGGGCCTTAGAGCTCCCATCCCCTGTGTCTTGTAGGGCTGTGAACCTCATAGAGTCTCGGATACAGGAGACAAACTGCACAGCCCCACAGCTGCTCACTGATATTTCTGGATAGACTGCAGTCCAAACACCTCTTGAGACCAGGTTCACAGATGGAAGAGGGTGGGACAGCCAGGAGAAGGGGCAAAGCTGGAGCCACTAGGGCTCCAGAACATGCCAGGACTTGCTCTCTTAATGCCCAGAGGAAAGCTGGTGGAGTTATCCAATATTACAGAATTACCAGCGCCTGGGAAAACCCACATGTCTTCAGGTTATGAGTTCCCAGGTTGGAATTATTTGGAGCCCAAGGCTGCTGTCCACCAGTACTCAGGGCCCAGTGTAGAGACTGCAGCTGTTAAGATATTTGGGGGCTGCAGGAAGGTCCAGCTCTTCATTCTTATCTCTAGGACTTGAGGGAAAAAGGAAGGATTCTGGATGACCTTTTTTCTACCCGACAGTGGTGTAGACCTGTCCTTGACCCTCCTGTGATTCCATCTGCTTAGTTTGGGAGAGTGCTGCCCCTGGGAAACCAGGATGGGCTGGGGGAAGGATGACCAAGAAAACTGGTGATGGTTGGGGTTGGGACATCCAAGCAGTCCAAGTGGAGTCACTTAGAAATGTCAGCTCCACATGATCTTTGGCAAAGATGCTACCACATCTTCTCCAGGAGCTCTGATCTCAGAGTACGAAGGGCTTCTACCGTAAACACCCCAAGGGCCTAGGGAGCCACCTGTGCCTGGAGCCTTGCTACAGGTCTGTGTTCCTCCTGGGAGGGGCATGGGCTGGGCTCAGGCAGCTAGTTGTTTATAAAGTGACAGAAACCCTGCCCTGAGCAGAGCACTCCAGCCACTGCCACAATGAAGGGACTACTGCTTGTGCTGGCCCTGCTGGTGACCAGAGAGCTGATCTTTGAGATGCGTGAGGGTAGGAAGGAGAGTCTGGATGGCCCTCCTGATCCTTGCCTGGTGCTGTCTCACTGCATCCTTCCCAGTCCTGTCCAAGCCACTTCGAGGGGCTTGTGAGGGCAGCTGTCTGATCAGTGCCCAGGAGTCCTGTACAAACTGCTTGAGGCTTTCAGTCTTTGAATGGAGGGGGTGTTGTAGAGTTGGAAGGGTCTCTAGCTGTGCACACCCTGGGGGATAGTTTGTTGGGTATAGTGGTGCTCGCTGCAAGGGTGGACGCTGGCTGATATGCCTGGGGATGATGGTCAAGGGCAGAGGAGTCTCCAGACCTCGCCCCTCTTGCTGCTCCCTCTGCTGGGAGTGCCTCATAGGGAAGGTTTTCTGTCTGAGATGTAGGGCAGGTCTGGAAGCTTGGGAGCTTTGGGATGAGTCTGGAAGCTTTGGATGTGTGAGTTCCTATCAAGCGGTGGGAAACAGGAACCTCCTACTCTGGTTATTCTTTTGATGAAGTGTTTTCTGTCTGTGCCTTCAGCCGAAGCCTGCCCTATGTTTAGTGCAGCATTTAGCTCGATGGCCCTTGGAAGCAAAACATTGTTGAACTCAACTCTCAGTTTGGTCGATGCTACTGATGGAGAAAATGAAGCTATAGGAAGAATCCAGGATTGCTTCAATGAGGCGGGATTTGATGACAAACTGTTGAATATAAAAAGCATGGTAATTTACTCCCCTCACCCCTACCCTGCCCTGCCCACTAACATGCATAGTGCAGTATGCCATATGGTAATAGATCATGCAGTCATGGGATATGTGGCAGACAAGAGCTATAAACAAAGAAGCACATAAACCTTTGCTCCACCCTGCAGCACCTGGAATATGCAAGCACAGTCCACCTGCATGTCCAGCCTCTTCGGCTACCGAATATGCCTGTGTTATGCCAGTCAGCTCACACACAATAGGGGACTGGCCTCGGTGCAGTAGGTCAAGTATGTTAACTCATGTTTTTTTCCCTCAGTGTGAGGAGCTAGCATTGGAGGAGTAGAGTTTTATTCTTGGCAGGAAAGGAAGCATTCAGCTCCCACACTGGAAGGAGTGATATCAGCTTCCTTTTAGGAATATTGTAAAGGAGCCCCTACCTTAGGAGTCTCTTTCCAGGATGAGATTCTCTAGGTTTGTAAGGTTTATGACTTATCTCCACTTCACTTCATCTTTTTCCCACTCTGATGGCCATTGCTCTGGCTCAGACCCCCATTTCCACCAGTATGGTCTCAGTGCCTACAAGCCTGATTTTCCACTGTGGTATTTTGGTGCCTGAAACTACAGAGGAGGCTTCTAGGTCTTTGTGGCTGCTCACTTGAGCTAGCAATGGATCTCCTGAGGTATTCTTTTTTTCCCCCTCTGTTTTTTTCATAAGTATTGGAGATTTTGAATAGTCCATCTCAGCATATTTTCTTCAAGTTATTGATTTTTTAAAATGAGAGGCTTTCCAGGAACAGACCTGCATGCACTAATATGAGCACACAGGGCACATGGGATTGTTTATGACACCTGCATACACAGTCCGTCCACCTAGCATACCTGACAGAAGAGGATCAGGTGCAGGAGGTGTGACCCAAACCCAGACTCTAGCACCTTGCTCTTCCTCAGGACCAGCCCCTGCTGTGTCCTGCTGACCCTTGTTATCTCCTCCCCTCCCTGTCATGGTTGGTGCCTCCGTCTCCCTCCTGACACCTGTGTCTGGGCTGTTAGAAAGCCATTCTCCCCCTGGTGCCTGCTGGTAGCCCCTTCTCCAGTGGTGGGTCTGTGGGCAGAGGTTCTTGCTGGGGATGGGGCTGAATCCCTGAGGGTGAGGTATGAGGTGATTCTGAGGAGACAGGATAGACCAGCTGTGGGCTCAGTTCCTGTCTTTCCTCCTTCTCCCTCCTAGATTTCCGTCATCTTGAGTGAGGATTGCAGTGACTATGTATTGTCCTCGGTGGTGGATACTGTTTTAGGATTAATTCTCAGTGTGACGTCTCTGGTGAGATAATCTTTGCCAGGGATGTCTGGTCAGCACTTGATCTACCTGCCTTATTCTCCTTCTCAACTAAAGCTGGAATCAAGACACCTGTTTCACTAATATGGTCTCTGTCAGGATGACTCTAATAAAATAACTGCAGCTTTGCTCAGTGTGCGCAGTGTGTGCTGTGGGGAGGATGTGAGGCAGGAGGTCTTGGGAGATGGTGAGAAGTGACACATGTGGTCACTGAGAGCGTGGGGACCAGGGTCAGACAGAACGAGGATAAACCTGGGGCTGTGGACAAGTTTGTTGTAACTTTCTCAAGTCATTCTGACATCTGCTAAACTTGGATTGTGTGCCAAGATTAAGCAGAGTAACATACATATTACTCCTGACTTCCAGTTAGGGTTAAATGAATGTATGGTTTATAACACTGGAGGGATAAAAGTGTTGTCTGTAGGCGCTGATAGCATGTCTCCCATTCTGGCCTTTAGCACAGTGACGCATCCTCTAGTCCTTTTAATGTTTCTCTGGTTATTGATGGGTGACTCAGGACATGACTTAAGCAGGCCTATAACAGATCCTCTCTTTCTCTCAGTGGCATTTGCCAATTTTTTTGCTTCTTAGGTGGATGTCTTCTGAGGATCCTGACATTTCATTGGGCACACTAAGTACCACTGCTCTTTGTGGTCCTACCATGGGGGCCAGGACCCCCATGAAGTCTTAGAACAGGAAGATGGGAGTGGATGGAAGAAGCTACCCCAGTGGGAATGTTGTTACTGTGGAAACAGCTCATGCTGTGAAGTGTGAATTGCAGGATGTGCCACATGGGCACATGTCCTAAACCCTCTAACCTACTTTTAAAAGCATGAATGGGTAGTTGTATTACCATTAGGAGACTTGTGAGGCTACATGGAAAGCACTAGGTTTTATCTCTGTTTCCTGTCTGTAGTCAGACTGTAGTCAGCGTGACCCACATGAAGAGTGGCATAAGTGGTAAAATCATTCTACCTTGTAGCCAGGCAGGCATAAGGTCACATTGGGATCTGCTAGACTTCATATTAAGTGTTCAAGTTATACTAAAGAGGTCTAAACTTTTGTTGAAAATTAAAAAATAAAATTTGAACAGAGTAAGGGCTAAATCATATTCTTGTTTGAGATTTATCAACACTGTATAAATGTCAACTATTCCCAAATCCATGTAAATTAATTTTTGTTGTAATGTAGATTGACTTAAATTTACCCGCCAGTCCCAACCCAAACTACTTTCTTGATGTCAGTGAAGGAATTTGAGCAAAACAGGAACTTTAAGGAGGATTGTTCTCACCAGGTATTGCAACAGAAATGTATATCTCCCTAAACAGTCTAGTTTTAATGGAGGAATAGGTACCTATTCTTGGTAACAGAAAACACATAGATAGAGTCAAAGGTAGTTTAAGATGTAATAATAACAGTTTTATTGAATCATGAAGAAGGAATGGATATTTAAAAAAATGGCAAATGAGAAAAGTGACCAGACATTAAAATAATCTAGATGGATTTGCCAAGCCTTTTCCTGTGGATTTATATGGAATAATGATTATTAGGGCTTCCTTGGTAGTTCAGCTGTTAAAGAATCCACCTACAATGCAGGAGACCCTGGTTCAATTCCTGGGTCAGGAAGATCCCCTGGAGAAGGGATAGGCTATCCACTCCAGTATTCTTGGGCTTCCCTGGTGGCTCAGTCAGTAAAGAATCTGCCTGTGATGCGAGAGACCTGGGTTTGATCCTGGGTTGGGAAGATCCACTCCAGTGTCCTTTCCTGGAGATTCCCCATGGACAGAGGAGCCTGATGGACTGCAGTCCATGGGGTCACAAAGAATCGGACATGACTGAGCAACTAAGCACAATGATTTAATTGCCATAGTTCTAATGTTTAATTATTCATTTGTCACAACTCATTCTCCTCCACCCCCACCCCCAGTTACTCTTTTAGTTTGACTTTCATGACATCACAGTTTCCTTGTTTTTCTCCTGTTTTACTTGAAGATCCCTCTCAAGATCTGTTTACCACAGATTGGGACTTGAACCCACCTGGCTGGGACTCAAACCCAGCCAAAACCGACAGTACCTGGTTTCAGGACTTAATGAAGCTCACGTTCTTGATGTCTCATCACAGAAAGAATTCAGTGAGAGACAAAGAGATAAATAAGAAGTGGATTTATTCAGATACAGAGAGAAGCATACTCCACAGAGTGTGGGCCATCCACAGAGGGCAAATGCCACCCTGAAATTTGGCATGGTGTTTTTATCGGCTGGATAATTTCATATGCTAATGAGTGCGAGGATTATTCCAACTGTTTTGGGGAACTGGTGGAGATGTCCAGGATTTGGGCCACTGCCCACTCCTTGGTCTTTTTTTTTTTTTTTTCATTTATTTTTATTAGTTGGAGGCTAATTACTTTACATCATTGCAGTGGTTTTTGTCATACATTGAAATGAATTAGCCATGGATTTACATGTATTCCCCATCCCGATCCCCCCTCCCACCTCCCTCTCCACCCGATCCCTCTGGGTCTTCCCAGTGTACCAGGTCCGAGCACTTGTCTCATGCATCCAACCTGGGCTGGTGCTCTGTTTCACTATAGATAATATACATGTTTCGATGCTGTTCTCTTGAAACATCCCACCCTCGCCTTCTCCCAGAGTCCACAAGTCTGTTCTATACATCTGTGTCTCTTTTTCTGTTTTGCATATAAGGTTATCGTTACCATCTTTCTAAATTCCATATATATGTGTTAGTATACTGTAATGGTCTTTATCTTTCTGGCTTACTTCACTCTGTATAATGGGCTCCAGTTTCATCCATCTCATTAGAACTGATTCAAATGAATTCTTTTTAATGGCTGAGTAATATTCCATGGTGTATATGTACCACAGCTTCCTCATCCATTCATCTGCTGATGGGCATCTAGGTTGCTTCCATGTCCTGGCTATTATAAACAGTGCTGCGATGAACATTGGGGTGCACGTGTCTCTTTCAGATCTGGTTTCCTCGGTGTGTATGCCCAGAAGTGGGATTGCTGGGTCATATGGCAGTTCTATTTCCAGCTTTTTAAGAAATCTCCACACTGTTTTCCATAGTGGCTGTACTAATTTGCATTCCCACCAACAGTGTAAGAGGGTTCCCTTTTCTCCACACCCTCTCCAGCATTTATTGCTTGTAGACTTTTGGATAGCAGCCATCCTGACTGGTGTGTAATGGTACCTCATTGTGGTTTTGATTTGCATTTCTCTGATAACGAGTGATGTTGAGCATCTTTTCATGTGTTTTTTTGCCATCTGTATGTCTTCCTTGGAGAAATGTCTGTTTAGTTTTTTGACTGGGTCATTTATTTTTCTGGAGTTGAGCTGGAGGAGTTGCTTGTATATTTTTGAGATTAATCCTTTGTCTGTTGCTTCGTTTGCTATTATTTTCTCCCAATCTGAGGGCTGTCTTTTCACCTTGCTTATAGTTTCCTTTGTTGTGCAAAAGCTTTTAAGTTTCATTAAGTCCCATTTGTTTATTTTTGCTTTTGTTTCTAAAATTCTGGGATGTGGGTCATAGAGGATCCTGCTGTGATTTATGTCGGAGAGTGTTTTGCCTATGTTCTCCTCTAGGAGTTTTATAGTTTCTGGTCTTACATTTAGATATTTAATCCATTTTGAGTTTATTTTTGTGTATGGTGTTAGAAAGTGTTCTAGTTTCTCCTTGGTCTTTTAATAGTGCTTTGGAACTGTCAAGGCACCTCTGGGTGTGTCATTTTATTTGTTGATTGAGGATCAAGGTCTAATCTTATCTGCCATCTTGGTTCCATTTGATTCCAATAGGTTTTATGTTGTGTCCTTAGGTTGTCATTCTTTCGAAAGTTGTGCCCTGCCCCTTTCCCTCCTGTTACAAGATCTTTAGGGTTGTATCCTATAGCAGAGTTGCTTAGTTGTGTCCGACTCTTTGTGACCCCATGGACTATACAAATCCATGGAATTCTCCAGGCCAGAATACTGGAGTGGGTAGCCTTTCCCTTCTCCAGGGGATCTTCCTAACTCAGGGATTGAACCCAGGTCTCCCACATTGCAGCCAGATTCTTTACCAGCTGAGCCACAAGAGAAAGATGGTAAAGGATCTGCCTACAATGTGGGAGACCCGGGTTCAATCTCTGGGTCGGGAAGATCCCCTGGAGAAGGAAATGGCAACCCACTCCAGTACTGTTGCCTGGAAAATCCCATGGATGGAGGATCCTGGTAGGCTACAGTTAATGGGGTGGCAAGAAGTCGGACACGACTGAGCAACTTCACTTTCCTATAGCAGAGAGCATCCTCTTTCAGTGTCTTTCCTTTCTTAAGTATGTTCACTTTCTTAATGGTATCATCCAGCTTCATTTTAACTTTGCTTATAGTTTTTGACAGTAAATCTCCATGCCCACTTTTATTGCAACATACAAATGTGTCTCTCACTTAGTATTTGTTAATGAATTTTTTTAAAAAGCTCTAAAATTTTTATGAGGTGCAAATAACATTAAATAAATGAATAGACTATTCAAAGGGAATTTTCAACCGAATAAAAATGTCATTTTTATCTTACAAATACTAGCTGCCATTAGTAGTTAGTTTAATGTAATCTCAATGAAAATCCCTACAGGATTTTTCAAGGTATTTTATTCTTATAAAATTGGTATCACAATTATCACATGATCCAGAAATCTCCTCTTTAGGTTTACACTAAAAAAAAAAAAAAAAGATAATTTAAATAAGTTCAAATAAAAATCCTGCCCACTGATGTTTCTTGCAGCTTTATTCAGCTCTGTTTATCAAAACTGGAAACTATGTTAGTATCTTTCAGCCAGTGAATAGATAAACAAAGCTTGCCACATTCCTACAGTTGAACGCTACTCAGCATTTAAAATTGCAGGTAGGAATATCAACAATCTCAAATATGCAGATGTTATCACTCTAATGGCAGAAAGTGAAGAGGAATTAAAGAGCCTCTTGACGAGGGTGAAAGAGGAGAGTGG